CACGAAAATTCAGAACTTCTTCAATGGAATAGTGGATGTATAGACGGCAAGAAGCCGTCACATTCCATAATTCGATGTGATCTGGTTAATAAAGAGGTGAGACCATTAGCTGGGGCGAAGTTACGTACTGCAACTGGAGAAGATATCCAAGTTCTCAAAAAAGAAACGCGCGAGATCGTAATTGGGAAGGCAGCAGTGTTACACAGTTTTATAGTGGCAGTAATCGTCGACGAAGTCAAAATTGGAGCGACTTTCTTGCGAATTGAAAATCTATATGGAGAATTATGACCAATGCAAATATGGGAGTGCCATGTTTGTTCGGTTACGATAATAAGTTCAACGTTAGACGAGTGATAACAACAGAGAGCCAGCAGATTCCACCAAAATCAGAAGCACTTATTTGGGCAGAAATAGATGGAGCCTATATCCCAAAGAAGTTTTGGATTGTTGGGGCGACAAAAGAATCGACACTAAACTTACTTACAGGTAAAACCCTGGCTATGATAAGACAATATAAACGTGTTCCTGTAAGAGTACTTAATGGGTGAAAGTCACCAAACAAACTTTCCAAATGAGATATATTAGGGCAGTGACAGGAGATTGATTGATTACCAAACACGTCCTGAGGGAAATTCTATTGGTGAAAACGACATATGAAGCGAAATTAATGCATAGGAGTCTGCCGAGGAACCAAAAGCAGACCATTAAAATAAGGCTGATAAAGATGATCGCAACATTGTTGGAAACATTTTACCAATCCGACAGGCTCCTAGAAGTATTCCACTAGCGAAACTAAGCCAGTCCATGAGCGAAATCGGCGTAATCGAACCGTGAACGAGTCCATGGAGTTCTGTGTGGGCTATAGAAGTTTGATTGATGTAACGAAGAAAGAACCGGTGACACGCTAGACTTCAGGTTCAAAATGGTTCTCAACACTTGATTTGAAAAGTGGTTATTGGTAAATGGTGGTAAACGAAGAAGACAAAGAAAATACGGCTTTTAGCGTTGGAGATGGTCTATAGCGATTTTCCGTAATGCCCTTAGAATCTTGTAGCGCTCCTGTTACCATTGAGAGACTTATGGACCAAGTATTAAAAGGATTGTATTTGAAGAGCTGTTTGGTATACTTGGACGATGTCATCGTGTTGGCTTAAAGCTTCGATGAACACCTTAAGTACCTGGAAAAGGTTTTTCAACGGATTGCTGGCGCTGATCTAAAGCTGAGCTCGAGGAAATGTTCCCAGTAAGGAATTAAGTTATTTAAGACACAAAGTGAAACAGAGGGCATTTGCACAGCTAACGAAAAGATAAAGGCAGTAAAAGATTCGCCCTCCCCTCAAAACTTACATGAATTACGAAGTTTCTTTGGATTGTGTATTTATTATCGACGATTCGTTCCAAATTTGCTTAGCTACGCTGACCTCCATTAACTCACGAAAAAGAGCAAAGTATTTTCAGTAAGGGAAAATCATACAGCATTAAAATGGCGTCCATGATTCAGGAAACCAAAGGTCATTTGGCACGACGGATTGAGAGAGTTACTACTTCTCTATAGAACATCGCAAAGGTAGTATTAATGGTAATGCAGATGCGATGTCCCACCATCCCTGTAATTTGGTTGCAGACACTGCTTATAAGCTGTGGCCAAAGAAGACATTATAGATGTCCGATTAATGAGAATAACACAGACTAGAATTAGAAGAAACAACGAAAATGACGGCACAGTAAAAAGGTATATTGAGCACAATCGAACAATTTAAAATTGGTGTCTGGTTGCTAGAATCGCGTATGGGAAAGCGAAGATGGGCTAAGCTCCCAAACTCTGATGATTGTTCAGAAAGTAAGAATTCCCAAAGTTTTCAACGAGCTGCAGAACGGTCCAAGTGGAGGACACATGGGTTTCTCTAAAACCTTGGAGAAATTAAAACAGAGATTTTATTGGATTGGTTGTCGTCAATCAGTTATGGAGTGGATCGCCAATTGTGTCGAGTGCGTTGCTACTAAAGGGCCAAGGTCTAGGAGTCATTGCCAGATGAAGCAGTACAATTCGGGAGCTCCGTTTGAGCGAGTTGCCATGGGTGTAGCTGGTTCATTTCTTATCAGTAAATTAGGAAACATATATGTTTTGGTAGCCATGGACTATTTCATCAAATGGCCAGAGGTATACGCAATTCCCAACCAAGAGGCAGGATCAGTAGCGGATGTATTCATTAAAAATTTGGCATCGAGATACGGTGTTCCACTAGAACTACTTTCAAAACAAGCGAGAAATTTTGAATCAGCTCTTATTCAGGAGATATGCCTGCAACTGGGTATCCGAAAAACCTATACAACTGCACTACATCCGCAGTCTGATGGCATAGTAGAACGATTCCATCGAACATTTGAGGAAAGTTGACTCGAACACATGACTGAGTTACAAGGTAGGCGATTTATAGAGAAATTATAATTAAGACAGTATTTTTTTAAACTTTCGAGTAGGCCGAGTATCGATAGTTTAGCAGATCTCTAACAATTGGTAGCCCGTTCACTAATGCTGGACTAAACCAAATTTGCCAAAAGTTTTGTCTATAGTGGCAACGTAGAAATTAGTTTTTCTCATTTGTTTTCATTTGATAAATGTTGCCTTTGTTTAAGTTTTGTATACGATTTTTCACATATTTAGATTTTTAGTTATAATGTAAACGTTCAAAACTAAAATCCGATTATTAAAAATAGTCTTCCTATTTATAAATAAATGTATTGTAATGACAGTGATTTTGAGTTAGTTTAAGAATATTTCAAATATATTCAAGTTTATTTTTTAATTACTACAAAATATCGAGACTGGTAACCCTGCATAGCAAGAAAGCAATCAGCTCACTCCAGATATCCTGGCGTACGTTCTGTAGAAGCGGACGGTAGATACAGTGGTGAGTGTTCATTTATAGTGGGCTCTCATAGGTTAGGTCGCATCAGCTGGTTCGGTCTACTGTTTTGCGTCGGTGACTGTTTCCAGCATAACCCATTCGCTAACGCATGTAAATAGGAACACATAGTTTGCATTTTCGGTAACAAATGCATTGGTTATATCTAACGCATGTAAACAGAATCGGTAACGCATAATAATTTCGGTCGGATAATGCCAGAAACGATGAAATGCCAATGCCGCATGTTTTATGCTTTGTTGCGTAATCTTCTATTAGGTTAAGTTATATTCATAAAAAAAATGATAAAACAAAACATGGAAAGTAGTAATATGTATGGTATGTAATGTATATGTTTAATATTTTATTGATAATTGTTAGCATATAGTTGAAGAGCTCAGACATGCGCTATATCAGCTCGATCATACCTACACGACTATTTCATGAATGAAGCCGCCGGAAACTTATATTTTTGAGATATTAAAATTTTAAGTTGAAAATTTTACTTACTTTATCTTACAATATTTCGATTTATAGTTAATTTTCTTTTTTTAATAGTGTGCTCTTATTATCCACTAACACTTCACTACATTGTTTCTACGTGTTTTATTTATATGAATTATTTTAATATTTGCTTTAAATAATTTTTTTTTGCACAATTTTCATTATATGCACAATATCCATGTTGACAAATAATAAGTGTTGCCATGTCCTCATTAACATTACTTTTATTTTGGTTAGATTTCCATTTTGCATTGGTGGCATGCGACCGCGCTTAAAAAAATATCCCTGGTCGATCCAACACCGCTGATGACTGCATTGACGGCCTTCGAATGCCCTTCAAAAACATAACTCTGGCCGATCCCAAATCGTTATTTATTTATAGAAGTAAACTAAGTGATTATGGTTCATGTATTTTTGATAAAAATATATATGTAGAAACACTGTAGTGAAGTGTTAGTGTATAATAAGTGCATAATATAAAAGAAAAATTAACTATAAAACGAACAATTGCAAAATAAAATTTGTAGATTTCTGAACTTATTTCAACTGCGAATATCTCGAAAACTATAGGTTGCCGGTGGTTATATTCTTAATCTGGAGAATCTGCTCTATCCAACCATACCCCTTTTAATTCTGAAATATTGGGATGATATACTGGAGCAGACCTAGTGCACTTTTACACAGGGATTCAAAAGAGTCTGATGTTTTTCAAATTTTCTTTTGGTGTCGCTCTGGGCATTCACACGGTCAAAAAGAGTCCAGCAACTCGAGTCTAGTTTTTCTGCATTCCTTTTCATTCCTTAAATATTTGTTCGGTTCGACTCCGCAACACTTAGAGCGTGTTGCATATTTCATTTGTATGTTGGGATGGTGGTCCCACATTTTGCTTGCAATGAATTAGCATGAATGTGGTAGAACAATATGCTTAATACCTACCCTTCAAAGAAATACTTAAGACGGGAATTCCCTAATCCACCAGAATGTATAGAATATCCGCTACTAATATTTTCAAGGCCAAATTTATAACAGGAATTTCCTAATCTTTAATTATTAAAAATTCATAATTTCTTTACTCCGTATTAAAAATTCATAATTTCTTTACTCCATAATCTATATCTTAATTTTCTTCTTATTTACAATTTGTCATAATATTTCTATTATTCTATGCATACGTATTTGCATATTACATACAAAAATAGATAACAGAACTCAAATTTGCGATCGAATTCATTTGAAACCGAGCGCTCTTGCAACCATTCAAAGAATTTGAAAGTGAAAAGGAAAGCTGAAAAGGGTAGCAGCGAGCTGTTACGAACAAGAACACAAAGCGTGCCACCCGAACACGAGTGGTACGGTCCCTTCGTCTTTCCTCGTCGTCCCCTCGCCCACAATAAACTGGTATGAGACTCTTTTGAGTCCCAATGTGAAACGGCACCTATTGTGCAGATGGTTAGCATTGTACATTGCCTGTGGAGATGCGGCGATTTATATGACATACTGCTAACCAAAATAAAACCAATGAGGTACATAAAAGTGGTATGTGAATCATATATAAGACTATTATTAAGGTAATATATTTTCCACACTATTGAAAGAAATCTGGCCACAACTGCAAACGAAAGTTATAGCATTGAACACCCTACAAAAATTGTTTCATTTCCATTTATTCCAGTTTTTAGGGCATGATCTAAATATTTATTGGGAGTTATTAGTAGTATGCAATAAGATGGCAGAAATTGAGGTTTTAAATAAATTTTATAAAATAAAAGGTGTATTGTTTTGAAATAATAATTATTATTATTTGCAGTTGTCTAAAGCATTGCGTGACTTACCGAATCGAGTCCTGTCAGCTACATGTGATGAGAGAACAGTTTTGTTTCAAAACGTGACAACTGTGCTGAGTAATCCTGGTATAAAACAAAAGCGTTTTAATTTTGGAAATCATTAAAACATTATATTTCAGGTATTAATGCGTCTATTGTGAAAGGCTTATGTAAAGTAATTGGAACAACTTTGACCAAATACAAGGATACGCCATCACAAATTCTTGTTAGAAATTTAATTGTGGATATCGTAAAGCAACATCATGACGTGGCTACTGAAAGTCTTAGCTCTGTAGTTAAAACTGTTTTAAACAAAGAAATTTTAGTTTTGACCCCTCAAAAGTCGGCAAAGTATTCACTTATTGCTTTAGGATGGACTGATTTAATTATAAGAAATGGGGATTTTCATTCGAACATATTTAAAACCGAATATTCTAAGTTGGTAGAATACCAAAGTCAATTGTATCATCATATATTTCTTTCCCACAATATGCGAATAATAGAAATGACTGAGAAATTACTATTTGAGTCCTGGATAAATGCAGAAAATTACATACTATGCTCGTCCACAATTTTATTAAAGGAACCTTCATTTAACATTATCAACTTTCTAATGCTATTTTTACGATTTGAAAACATCAAAGGACAAGAAAAATATGTACTAAAAAAGCACAAATCAGAGCTACTTGATCACTTTATCAAAAGTATTATTATAAATAAAACACGGCCCCAAACTTCAATTGTAATAGGGTGTGAGCCATTATTAAAAATAATTACACAAAAGGAATTTGAAGAAGTGATACATCCGGTTTTACTTAAAAGCATATTAAGGAGCCCTGAAATGGCAATACGTGTGATGGGATTAATTTTTCACCAATTAAATATAGACTTGAGGGAATATGCCTCATCATTAGAAAGGTGCTGTATACATTATATTGTAAGGATGACATAGTGAGAAGAGAATCTTTAGAAACTCTGAAGGAATTATCGCTTAGATGTACCACTGTTGAGTCGGTTGAGTATTTACTGAACGGAATTTTCGATACTCTTAATGGACACAATGGTAAAATAACAGTAGCGGAGTACAGAATACATCTGATTCAGGTATTTACTACTATGATACATATTGAACTTTTATATTTTACTACCTTTAAAATTCAGTTTAAAAAATTACCATTTTTTAGGGTTATTATGATAAAATATAAAAATCTTCGAGTCTATACTTTACGAAATGTGTATATCATACAAGAATTCTAATGCGATTTTTAATGTAGGTGTATTCATCAACCAATTTATATTTTATATGGTTTAGTAGGTTATTATTAAGTTATCATATTCATTTGTTGAATTTAGTGTTTCAGCTTACCGTTATCCTTTCTTAGTACTGCGCAGTATAAAATTAGTAAAGCTTACAATTGAAATACATTAACCCGACATTGTTAATTTTAAGTATACCTTGAACGGGGTATTAAGTTTGTCACGGTGATTATACTACTAGAAGGAATCGTCGGAAAACCAATAAATACATAAATGATCAGCAATGCGTCTCTGCCTGTATATCCGCGTTTTTGAGATATCGATCTGAAATTTGCGTACGTTCTTTTTCGCCAAAGAGCTGTGTACATAACCGACCATTTCAATCCACTTTAACATAAGCTGCCGTACAAACTGACCGATAAAAGTCAATTCTTGTATAGAATCTTCTGTATTAGAAATGGCTCAAAATTTTCTTTACGATCTGTTTCGCTCAGCTTTAACTTTGCACTGCCTGTCCGTTTTCGTATGAAAATGTATGCATACATACAGTTTTGAAGCTTATTTATAGCATTCATAAGCTTTGCGCTCATCAAATATAAAACTGAAACCAGTAAGGAAGGCTAAGTTCGGATGTAACCGAACATTTTATACTCTCGCAAAGTTAAATGGTATATCCGTTTGAGACTTCTTTATATATTTTAATAATTAGAAGTAGGAACTGTTGCCTTATTTATTTACTTTTCACTCACAGTGAAAATAATTAGAGCAATTTGTAAACTAAATTTACTCAAATTATGAGAAATCGTTCTTGTGCTTTTTGTATACGCTTATAATTGATTTTATATAGAATGCATTACAACTGTATTGAGAAGTATGAAAAGAAATCGTTTTTGAACAATGAATAACATTTTTATACTCTCGCAACCTGTTGCTACAGAGTATAATAGTTTTGTTCACCTAACGGTTGTTTGTATCACTAAAACTAATCGAGTTAGATATAGGGTTATATAATATAAATGATCAGAATGAAAGACGAGTTGAAATCCGGGTGACTGTCTGTCCGTCCGTCCGTCTGTCCGTCCGTCTGTCCGTCTGTCCGTCTGTCCGTGCAAGCTCTAACTTGAGTAAAAATTGAGATATCTTTATGAAACTTGGTAGACATGTTTCATGGTACCGTGAGACGGTTGGTATTGCAGATGGGCGTAATCGGACCACTGCCACGCCCACAAAACGCCATTAATCAAAAACAAATAACTTGCCATAACTAAGCTCCGCAATAAGATACAAGACTGTTATTTGGTACACAGGATCACATTAGGGAGGGGCATCTGCAGTTAAAATTTTTAAAAAGTGGGCGTGGTCCCGCCTCTAATAGGTTTAATGTGCATATCTCCTAAACCGCTAATGCTATAATAACAAAATTCACTGGAAGCAATATTTTTAGCACTTCTATTGACGGTGTGAAAATAGTTGAAATCGGGTTCAACTCCGCCCATCCCCATATAACGGTACTGTTAAAACTACTAAAAGCGCGATAAATCAAGCACTAAACACGCCAGAGTCATTAAATTTTATCTCTGGATGGTATGAGATGACTTTATAGGAACCGCGTTCAAAATAGACAGTGGGCGTGGCACAGCCCACTTTTAGGTGAAAACCCATATCTTGAGCTGCTTAACCGATTTCAACCAAATTCGGTGCATAACGTTCTTTTCATGTTTCTATGTCACAATGGGCGAAATCGGACTACAACCACGCCTACTTTCCATATAACACCATTTTAAATTCCATCTGATTATTTCACTTTCCACTATGCAAATCAGGCAACAATGACTGTATCGGGATAAAACTTTGCGTGAATAATGCGATTAAAGTATGCCACCTTGTGGCCAAAATATGTCTAAATCGAACCAAAACTGTTTAAGCCCTAAGTACTAAATATATGTGACCCCAGTGCCTATAGTTGACCTTCTACCGAAAATATCAGCCAATCCACAAAGAAATATCAAACGAGTATACTATTTGACTTTGCGAGAGTATAAAATGTTCGGTTACATCCGAACTTAGCCCTTCCTTACTTGTTTATTTATTATATCGATATTATTATACATGTTTAGCTTAAAAATAATAAATATTAACAACTTTAAAATGATATAATATTATTATTAATTTATATAAATATTACAATATTAAACATAAATTTTGTAGAGATTCTTATACATATATCCAAATTATATTTCTTTTTCCTTATACTATTTAATTTCAATCATATATTTATACAATAATGTCATATATAATAACAAATTATATATATAATTTAAATTTTCTTAATTAGATTATTTACATTGTTTATTTTAATTGTCTTAAAACTACTGTCAAAATCTTATACCATTCCAATTCGATTATATTTGGAAAAAAATGAAGAACTATTGCACTAAGTCTGAGTTCGAAATAGAGACACAAATACTGTCATGATAGCTGTGTACTGTCTCAAAAGTAATTGCATTTACACGGAAGGATCCATGTTGAAAATGCACAATCAATTTGTGTACCGGCAGGTGTAGTTGAATATTCTGCACCAAGCAGGAACTAAAGTTTTTTCTTGGAGCAGATTTCTTATTGCAGTCCCTGTAGACATAAACAATGTTAAAATCTCCAACAATTAGTACATTTTGATTGCCTAACTCAGAAGTAAGGACTTCCTGAAGTTCTACAATTAATTGTCTGACAGAGAAAGCTGAATTTCTATATAGAACCAGAATATTAATATTGAAACATTAAACAAAACCGCTTCTAAAACTTTCCGGCCTAAATAAATTTTCTTTACAGCCTTTGATTCTATAGAGCAACCAATACTATGCTTTGCATATATTATAATGCCCCCTTTATTTCTCTTGGTTGTTTCCATGCTATCTATCCTCAGCTCGTTAATTGGAGTAAATCCTGGTATATCAAAACTTTCGCAAGGTTAACTCCAAGTTTCTACAAAACATAAAATATCTGAAGATAGCATCAAACAGTCGTTTTTTATATCATGAATGTGAGCGTGAAGACTCTGAACATTATGGAATAAAGTTTGATATCCTGATGTTCGGGAAATCATAAAATTGAAACTTGTTGTCAAAGCTTTATTTGTGTTCAATTCCCTCAGTTCCCTAAATACGGGATCCGATTCAGAAAATTTGTTAGGAGAAATAAAATTTCCTATGATGAATAGACCTTCTGCAGAAGTAGCTCGACTACAAGCGACATATATTGAAGCTCTAGGCATTCTGGGTCGAGTATGAACTACAACTTTATTATATGTGGCACCCTGACTTTTATGAATAGTTATTCCCTCAGCCGGAACAACTAGAAACTGATTTCTTTCAATTGAAATTTTTTCATTTCTTTTATATTGAAAAGATTTTAGAACTTTTTCAATTGGTGTCCAAGAACTTTCTGGAGGATGAGGCTTTTTTGATCTTGCTATCAAACCAACAGAAGGTTCAAAAAATTTAATCCACAGAATTGTTGGAAAAGAATAATGGAAATCAATTTGCATAAGTTGTCCAGCTGCCCGATTAACCAAGCCATCACACGTGTTTATGTACACTGTAATCATATATTTGGCGGAGGTTTTTAGTGTCAATTCATAGGGCAGTCCCTGCGTTTCAGAAGTTTTGAAAAGTTTAACTCTTTCCAAAATATTATCATTTTCATTTATACCAATTCCTTTAATTGAGTCTTTTGCAGTTGAAAGGAAAGCTTCTGTTGGGATTCGACTGGGAACTTCTTCGAAATTAACTACTCGAGTTTCAATGAGTGATATGTCCTCATTTGTCATAGTACCAGATGCCATATGATTTAATGCAAAGGCCTGATCCTCCCGTTGTCTCATTATCTCTGTTAATTCAAAGTATTTAAATAACTCCCACAAAGGGGAACCAACTAAAGTGCTGTATGCATCATTGGGATTAAGAGAGTATCCACCTATCTCCAACAGGTGAGAGTTGCTTCAAATCACCAAACACTAAGATCGATATACCACCGAAGGGGCTATCTGTTTTGAAAATTTGTTTTAATCTCGCATCAACAGAGCTAAACATACGATCACCTACCATCGATATTTCATCAATTATGATTAATTTTAAATCGATAAGTCTGGAATACAATGAATTCACTGTGTCATTGCTAAGTGGCCTCAACTCTCTATTCAACTGATTAACAGGTAAAGAGAATATTGAATGAGGGTCATTCCACCTATTCGAATGCTGCTTTACCCGTAGGTGCGCAAAGAAGAACTTTTAAGGAACTCAAAAATGGGAGATTTGTTTTTAGGTGTGCATCAAATGTGTCAAATAGGTTCTTTGCTTAGTATTTAACTTTGAACTAAAGAAAATAATTCCCAACTGGAATAAAAGGGGTAGTTTAATAAGTCTAATGTTGCAATCAGATTCAGTGCCATTATCTGTTGAATCTTCGCCATGCAAGTCCAGCAAATTTATATTTGGGTTTATTTCTGGAAGTGCCAACACTCTGAACTGTTTTTCCACGATAGGTATTTAATTTGAGCACCTTCCTCCAATTCCATTTCATTAATAGACTTTCTAGAACATTTTCAAGTTCTCTTTGCTCAAAAACATCATATTTTCTTTGATTTTCCTCAATTATAATACGATGTGTTATGCAAGTCTGCTCCTTATCGTTTTCAATGAGATCTTGCTGTTCATTCCGCAAGGATAAAAGCATTAACATTTTGCGGAAATACTCAACTCTGGCCAAATCTGGTTTAAAACTTCTATACCGAATAATACAAGGTTTGGTACGTTTTTCACAAACCGCTACCGTCTTTAAGAGGCATGACA